GAGTGTTGTTGTTCATATTTTCTTTTAGTTGTCTCCAGTTCTTGCTTCAGCGCAGAGATTTCAAGGTTGTATTGATCATTTTGTTTCATTAGCTTAACCATATCTTCCTCTTCATTTTTCTTCTTTTCTTCCCACATTGACTTTTCTGTCTAGCATACACAAAACTCCAGGTCAAAATTTAGTTTCATGTCACGCCTATTACAAATACCATTTTTACTCAAAACAGTCTACAAGGCAACTCGCAGTATAATGTACCTCTATCTGTCTAAGCTGTTGTGTAGCAATCTAGCAAAAAATAAGTTCATCAATAGAGCAGAAGGTGTAACACATTAGTAAAATGTTATCAGAAAAGATCATTAACAAATTAAATGATACCTCATGTTCTACACCAGTTCCTGATGCTAAGGCTTCAAGGACATTGATCCTTGACTGGTATTTTTCCTCGCGAGTTTTGAAAATATTGTTTTGCTACACATAAACACAAACGAAATTACTCGCAAAACCAGAACTTGAACATTGTTAGGAAGCATTTTTGCAAAGTTAACAAAATCATACCGTTCTTAGATGTTCAGCTTGAGTTGATATACGCCGCTCAATCTCCTGCACGACTTTTCTTAACAGGCATGCCACACGCTGATCATTGTAGCTTTTGTCAAAATATTTCCCAAGAAGTAAAAGCACAAATAAAGGTATTATACGTTATGATCTGAATTGTTGACATTCAAGTACCTGAGGGATTTCACCATTCTTTCTTTCAATACTTTCATCTAGAATTCCATTCAAGACGCTTAGCAATGACTGCGTAGGAGCATTCTGCATCAAGCATAAGCCCAAGACATTGTTAGGAGACAAAAAAAAAAAGCACAGTTTCAAAGGAAATGCGGATATTCATTAACAAGATAGAGCAAATACATCTAAGCTACTTGATTTCATCATTTCAGAAATCTTTGAGGCTTGAAGATCATAACGCCCCTGTTTCATTTGGAAAACCTCATGAAACTTGTGTCCTCCATGGTGCATTGATCCAGGAGATGATGGATCTGCCGTAAACAGAAGACAATTAAAGATTATACATACACATACATATGTAGGAACGCGTTGAGACAAACGGTATGAGTGCTTTGCCAAAGAATAGATGATAAAAAAAAGAGTACCTAATTGGCCAGAACTAGCAAGGGCTTGCTGAAATTTGGACTCTGCCAGACTTTTATGCCTTTCATCTCCGGATAATGGAGAAAATGGAGAGAAAGGACTGCGAGGAGTTTTCGAATCTGCAAGATTTCTATGCCTTTCGTCTCCGGATAACGGAGAAAAGGGAGAAAACGGACTACGAGGAGTTGAATCTCCATAAGGACTGCCGGGTTGATCACGCATAGGATTCATCAAGCGTCGAGATCCAAAGCAAACTTATGGAAACACTTGATAACCCCAAAACTGCTGCATTCCTTAGCAAAAACTCCTGAAACATGATTGATTGAGGGAAAAAAAATGAGCATCAGAAAAATTCATAAGAACACACACACAGAAGAGCAATCTAGAAGACAAAAACTCCCGAAAGCCTTAATTTTTTTTTTTTTCTTTTCCTACAAGTAACATGAATCAGGGATCATTATTTGAGAATTCTTAGAAGAAAATTTCTCACATTTCCATGTTTTAAACTAGAAAAAATCCCATCTTTGAGGTCCCATTTCCATTAATTTCATTAATCTAGGGATTCAAAGATGTGATTTTTTCTAGTTCCTAGTAAACTTCACATGATTTTACCGTCATACAGCATTAATCGAGCAACACGCAAGCCCAAAAAAAAAATCAACACAACAATCTCCAGCATTACGAATTGAGGATCAAGACAAAAACAGCAACTTGAGATGATCAAACAAAACAAGCAACTTCCACCAATGCTGGCAAGAACTTCTAGGGATTCAGAGAAGGAAACAAAACCAAAGAAGAACCTACCAGACGGGTACATGCATTGGTGCAACAAGAGAAAAAAAGTTGACATTGAAAAACCAAGTCAAAACATAGCTTAAAGTCGCGATTTTGCAAAATCGCATCATGATAACAAAGAGATGAGGACAAAAAGATGCGATCTTTGTTCTCTTTACCTTAGAAAATCAAGACGAAATTTTTTCCTCGGGAAAGCTTGGAAACGAGCGTTGAGGAGGTCTAACCAGAGAAAGGAAAACAGAGAGACGGAGAAAAAAGACGTGATGGGAATGTGGCTTGATTTGATTATTATTAGCGATAATAGTAAACTAATTAAAACGACTAATTTATTTTTTAATGATTAAAAATTAAATATACAGATTAGAATAACAAAAAAGATTTTATTTGGGGTTTGTGTACGGAGGGAGAGAGCGCGAATGTAGGAGGATGCAGTAACAATTCTTTTTTGGCTTCTCCAATCGTTTATACGGGTTTAGCAAATCCTTGTCTAAAATTAACGTTAAATCATTATAACGAGTATTTCAACAGAAATTATAAATTGGATTAAGAAACGATTAACTTGTAAAATATTACGACCAACGGAACGTTTTAATATGTTTCATGAATGATTTGGTCACACGTCGGGTAGTGACTTAACTTGGATCGTTTACAATATCAAAGAGCTACCATATTTTATACTTTAAACCATAAATTGAGAAACAAAGAAACAAAACAAAATTAGTTGTGGTAAACTGATCTTTAATATCGTTCAAAATATACAAGAAATAACTTTATATTAGAGCCATAGATTAAGAAAAAACGTCCTAGTGTTGTTACATTTACTTATCATATCAAATTTTAATATAGGAATATTTGTTTTTTATTTATTGTTGTTACTTGTTAGTGTTGGGATAATTTTAACCATTAAGAATCGATCTATCGCATTTTAACACAGCAATCCGATGATACATGAAAGCAAGTGGTATCTCACATCATCAATCAAGGCCTGTGCCGAGGCAGATTTCAACTTCATTGGTGATATATTTAAGGTTTGTCTATCATGTCACATTGTCACATAATTTGCGTAAGAATTTATATAAATAAAATGGTGGTGTAAAGCAGAGGAACGAGTCATATGATAGAGATGTTCAATTTGTTTATGGGTCATGTGGCGTAAAATTGTTTGTTTCTATGTTTCTTTTGGCGTAAACTGCAAAATTGCCAAAAATTCGATGAAGTCACAACCTCTGGTTTTGTATATTGACACGTCGCTTTATCACCGCAATCAACTCTTTCTTCAAATGACTAGAAATCCATGAGTCTATCATTTCCGTTATGTAAGATCCACAATAAATGTTATAATTAATTTAGTACCATCTGAATCTTTAGGTGCTGATTAAAACTCAAAAGCAGAAATTTTACATTTTAGTGACATATAATCCTTTTGCCTATCATCAAATATTATATGTTAGATATTAAATGTTCTACAAAACTTCAAAACGTGTTGTTTGAAGTTCCAAACAAGGATGTTGTTTCTTGTTTGCTATATATTAAAAAATGATTTCTGCGTTTTAAGTGTCACGCTGTGCTGCGGTCATGCAAACGCACCAACACACGAAATAGATTCAAAACAAATTAGAAAAGGTGGGTCCGCGTAAGAATCTCCATAGAAGGACATTAAGCCAATCAGGGTGCAAAAACAGAGATGACAGTAAATTTCAACCAATAATAAAGGAGAATCAGATCACCAGTGGACCCCATTAGGAGTTTCCTCTTGATCTAACGACCAATAGGACTTTACTTTTCCATTTTGTTCGTTTTGATATTTCAACAAAATTAATTGATAATTTGATATTAACCATCTCCAACAGTGTTTGCTGACGAAAAAAACCACCCATCTATACAATGCTCTCTCCAAACTGTATTTTAATAGTTTATGACTTGTTTCTCCGAAAAGAATGCACTTTTCTTACCATGAACTAGCCATTAGATAGTAAAATTTTGAGGATCATATAAAAACAGAGAGAGAGCAAAATTACAAACATTTTTTGTTCAAAATTTTAGTTAAGAAAAATGAAGCATATGGTTCTATTTACATTTATGTGGATATAATATATTTTACAATGAAAACAAAAATGTAAATTTGATAGCAAAAAAAATCGTTAAAATTCTCATTCTAAGAACCATTTACATACATAAACTATGAATAGGATTGTTTTAGAGTTTTATTTCTATTTCTATCTCCACTCCAAATAATCGAGACCACACAAATAATAAATCCTCAAAAAATGAAAAATATTAGTAGAAAATCGAGACGCCACACACACCAGTGTTCGTTCGTTGCAAAACCATATATATTACACTCTTTGGTTCTTCTCAAGGCCTCTCTCTCCATTTCAACAACTATAGCTTATCTATATATCACCGTGTAGTACACAGAGAGCTAATTAAAGATGGTGGTCGATGTGGAGAGGCGAGCCGCGAGCGTGCCGGGAGGGAAGATGGTGGCGCGTGGCTGCGATGCGTGCATGAAGAGATCACGTGCTAGTTGGTACTGTCCAGCCGACGACGCTTTCCTATGCCAAAGCTGCGACTCCTCGATCCACTCGGCTAACCATTTAGCGAAACGGCACGAACGCGTCCGGTTACAATCATCTTCGTGGACGGAGACGACAGAAAAAACGACGTCGGTATGGTACGAAGGTTTCAGGAGAAAGGCGAGAACGCCTAGGAACAAGGGTTTGGCGTCTGAGAAGTTGTTGCAAATGGAGGCGAATGATCCTCTTGTTCCGGATCTTGGTGGAGAAGAAGAAGAAGTGTTTTTCTCGTTCTCGTCCGTAGAAGAAAACGAGGAGAGTCTGAATTGTTGCGTGCCGGTTTTCGATCCTTTCTCAGACATGGTGATTGATGATATCAACGGCTTTTGCTTAGTTCCCGATGAAGTCATCAATAACACTACTAATGGAGAAGAACTAGGAGAACTCGAGAGGGAAGTCATCGACGATGAAGGTTTTATTGGGTTCTTACCGTTGGATATGGATCTTGAGGATCTCACTATGGACGTGGAGAGGTTACTTAAGGAAGGACAACTTTGCTTGGGACTCAAGGAACCAAACGATATTGGAGTCATCAAAGAAGAGAATAACGTAGGGTTTGAGATTGATTGTAAGGATTTGAAGAGGGTTAAAGATGAGGAAGAAGAAGAAGCCAAGTGTGAAAATGGAAGATCAAAGGATAGTGATGGAGAAGCATCTAAGGATGAAGATAGAAAGACGAGTTTGTTTCTGAGCTTAGATTACGAAGCTGTGATTACTGCTTGGGATAATCATGGTTCGCCGTGGAAAACCGGAATCAAATCGGAGTGCTTGGTAAGTTGGTATCTCTATATCTCATCTCTATTTTAGTCTTTAGTAGTGTCTAGTTCCGTTGACTTTGAGCTAATCAGATTTTGAAATACGAAATTAACGTTGAAAAATGTGTTGATCCAGTTGGGAGGGAACACGTGTCCGTCACATGCTGTGGGTGGGTTCGATGAGTTGGTGTCGACCGTCGGATCGGTGACACGCCAGCAAGTGAAAGACGGAGGAGGATCGGACGGGGAGAGAGAGGCGAGGGTTTTGAGGTACAAGGAGAAACGGAGGACGAGATTGTTCTCAAAGAAGATAAGATACGAGGTTCGGAAACTCAATGCCGAGCAGAGACCTCGAATCAAAGGTCGGTTCGTGAAGAGAACGTCACTTTTGACGTGATTTGATTTACTTTAGTCAACACTTTAAAGAGCTTGTAATTAAGAACTGTGAAGTAATTGTGGTAATGTACTACAAATTTAACTGAAAATCTTGGGGCCGGCACCTATGATTTCAGAATAACCAATAATGGAATTCTATATATAGAAATATTTGATTAAAATGAACCCGATAATGGAATTCTAAAAAAAAAAAAAAAGATAATGGAATTCTATTAGAAAAGGTTTCAGAGAATAACCTACTAAAATGTATGACTTATTATGATTATTGACTTTGCCACGTTATGAAATATTCTTACTGCTTCAATTGCTTTACAAACACTTAAATAGACATTTATCTTTCAGTCATCATCATCTTCATTTTCCATAATGATAGTTTTTTTGGATTAAGATTATATAAATCTCTTAAACCATATACGTTGGTCGACAAACATGAACTAAACTCAACCAATGAAAGATCCAAAATATAGAGAGACTCTAATATCTTCTCATGATATATGCATGTGAAATCATGCGGCTAAATACAGCCAAAATAAAGTTCGTAACTCACAGTGAGAGAACTCCAATACAACTTCCCATGCTACTAAAACTCATGCCATCATGCTATTGCTCCCTTTAACATCATATTGTAAGTTATATACACAACAAAAAAAGATTAATTATTTGATCGAAGTAACATATATGGAAAATGCACACGAACACCCTAACCACGATTGCATAAGAAAGTCTAGCTAGATCTTATCAACATAAGTATAACAATTGATGGTGGGAGGGATGCTTTATGCCATGTTATAAGGTATTAACAAAGGTCCTGAACCATGGGAGGGTTAAGGTCTAGGTCCAAACCTCTTCCTAGTTAACAGAAAAAAAAAAAAAGTATAACAATTGCAATTTCCATAAATAATAGATTCCAAAAATTGTGTATCCCACAAGAACTTATCAAAATACGTACTTTTTTTTTAATAAAAGATTTCCTATTGAATTGCATGAGAAATAAAATGATACAAAGCCATTAAAACCTAGTTATGGCTAAATAGCCAATCACACAATAAAAGAGAGGCTGGTTAATTAATTTGAAACAACTAAAAGAGCCAGACTATCTAAGCAAACCGGTTTGGGTAATGAAGTACGTATTTTAATTGTTAACCAACAAAAAACGTGAGTTTCAACCGAGTGAATTTGGTTTTTACTTCACAAGAGACGCATAGCTCACGCGCCGCCGACTTGCCATGAGCGGATACGAGCGGAAGAACACAACGGGGAACTCAATCACCATCACCAAGCGGAAGCGATACTCGATTTCGGAACCATCGGAGAACGTATTCGAGAAATCTAATAGGCAGGAGTCAATAGCCCTAAAACCTCACCGTTCTTTTGCTCCGGGATCCAGCCAACGTAATTGTAAACCTGCGTCTTCTCTTCGGCGGCGACGGAGAGCAAAGGAGAAGATCTCGACCTCCATTGAGCGCGAATGGGTGTTTTCCACAAACAATTTTGAAAATCTTAAAGGTTCGTGCATTGCAATCACACGGAGTTAGAACACATTGCTTATCTTATGTATGACAAATTTGATATCTTGTGTCTGAATCATCTTTTTTCAATTCTTCAGAGAAATTAGTTTTAGTTTCGTACAATCTACTTGGTGTTGACAATGCGTCAAACCACATGGACTTGTATTACAATGTTCCGCCGAAGCATTTAGAGTGGAGTAGACGGAAACATCTCATATGCAAGGAGATTAGTCGCTATAATGCTAGCATCTTATGTCTTCAGGCAAGTTCCGGGGTTCTTTATGCATTGGTTCATTATACGAATTACCTTCATGTGCTTAGAGATACACTACGTTGAGGAACTTAGTTTAGTTTCATTTATATCCAACTACTTGCGTAGAAAAGCTAGGTATGGCTGGTTTGCATTCTCATGTTCCTATTTTACTGCAGGAGGTTGACCGCTTTGATGATCTAGATGTTCTTCTTAAAAATAGGGGATTTCAAGGTGTTCACAAGGTATATACGAGTCAAAATCTTTGTTACCTTATATGCATTGAAGGTGCCGTTTTTCATATATCTAGTATTTTTTAGCGTCGAACTGGAGAAGCGAGTGATGGTTGTGCTATATTCTGGAAAGAGAAACTGTAAGTTCAGTTTTTTTTCTATTTAGGATCATTTTGTCTCTATATACTGGAGTCAGGAATCTAGCCATTTGAGTTTTCTATAGGGAATATCACTCTATAGGAGTGAGAGAAATTAGATTTCCAGTTCTCTGTTTTGAATGTTTCGAAATTGTTAATGATAGGTCACGTTGTGTTATGTTATCAGCTTTGACCTTGGCTTCACAATATATAGTTAAAGGCCTAAAGCTTTGCTTTCTAATTGTTCTCGATGTTGTTTATTTTTTATTAGACTATTAGTCTTCTAGTTTCATCATTTATGTTATATTTCTGCTGTGAATGCAGATTCAAACTTCTAGACCATCAACACATAGAGTTTGATAAATTTGGCATGCGAAACAATGTTGCTCAACTTTGTGTTTTAGAGGTATGCACCATTTTAAGTAATTTCTGTATTGTCGTCTTCCCCCTCTGACTTTCCTTAATTCTAGGATGCAGAGAGATATGACAAAATGCATCTTGATTGTGTGTCCTGTTGTGTTTGCAGGCATGCTAATTGCTTAGTTTCAGCCCGTGCAATTTATTAATTTATTTCATTGTGTATTATGGAACAGATGAACTGCGAGGACCCAAAGTCTAAATTACGTGTGCGATCATCAGAGTATGTCTGGGTTCTGTTTTTGATTCCTTTACTAGAGTGAATTTTCAAGTTACTGTTAAGATCCGTACTAAATTTTATGCGGACTTCCATGTTTGGTTGATTTATAGGCAAGCATCTAGTAGTCCTCAAAGGCTAGTGGTTGGGAATATACATGTCCTGTTCAATCCAAAGCGTGGGGATATCAAGCTTGGCCAGGTATGTCTTGCTACTTCCTTACAAAATTCTGAAAACATTGGCTTATCCATAGAATCTGTTGAGCATTGTTGTCACTACACATCCTGAGTTTAGAAATGTCAATTCTGTAGCTAGTACTATGTTATGGTATTCATCAGTACATCTATGCTAAGCAGTATAGATGAAACTGCATTGAAATTCTAGTAGCTCACTGCCTCGCTCATTTTATTGATATTTGATATGTCATAAGACTCATAACTTATAGGTAAGACTATTTCTGGAGAAGGCTTACAAGCTATCACAGGAATGGGGAAATATTCCAGTGGCGATTGCAGGTGATCTGAATAGCACTCCACAGGTGATCTCTACCAACATTTTTTTTTTGTTCTATTACTTACTCTCTTAGCTGAAATTTGTTCTAAAGCTTAATCTCGATTTGCTGGCAGAGTGCAATCTATGATTTCATAGCTTCAGCTGATGTGAGTTTCATTGAGGGACTCTTTTCTTTTACATTTCGCCTGGTCATATTTTTTTCCTTTCTTGCTGGTAAAGTTAGAATGAACTCTATTATATTGCTTTTTTTATTTTGGACAGTTAGATACACAACTTCACGATCGCAGGCAAATTTCTGGCCAGGGTGAAGTGGAACCAGAGGAGAGGTCATTTAGAAACCATTATGCATTTAGGTAACTTGAAACTCACCGAGATCTTTGGTTTCTCTAAATAATGTATCTGTATGCCTTTTCTGTGTACCCGATGAACTGATAGATTACTTATATCTCTTCTGTTTACCTGATAACTAAACAACTTCCTCTTTCTTCAGTGCTTCAGTATCCATCTCCGGATCACTACCCAATGAATGGAGCCAGGAAGAACTACAGCTTGCAACTGGTGGTCAAGCAACCACTCGTGTCCAACATCAACTGAAGCTTCATAGCGCATATAGTGGAGTTCCTGTAAGTGTTCTTGTTTCTTGTTCTCGACTGGTGGACGCATCGAAAAGAGTTGACAGGAAAACTAAATTATTAGGAACTGTGGCTTTCTTTTATACTAGATACTGAAAAACGTTTAGGGAAAGCAGCATGTTGTATGATGTTATAGCTATCCTTCTAGTATGCTAAGACCTGAGATCTTTCAGGGTACATATAGAACGAGAGATCAACGCGGTGAACCATTGGCAACAACGTATCATTCCAGGTTTCTAGGAACTGTTGATTATATATGGTAAGTCTGTTGTGATTATGAAATACTAATCATTAATCAGTGCTTTCGATTATATATGGTTATCTCTGTTGTGATATGCACATGTTATATTATGAAATCTCAATCATTGATCTGAGGTTTCGAATCCAGGCACACCAAGGAACTCGTTCCTGTGAGGGTTCTTGAAACCTTGCCAACTGATGTATTGAGAAGGACAGGTGGACTACCTAGTGAGGTATTCATAAGTTTATTTTCTAGGCTAATCTTTTTTTTTTGGTAACCCTTTGTTTTCTTGAGTTACTCTATTCATTTTCAAGAATGTAATATCCCTGTTGAATTTGAATGATCCAAAACTGTGATTATTGGGAAAGTTGCCTACAAGTCTCTGACCGATGAAAATTTGCAGAAATGGGGAAGCGATCATCTCGCTATCGCATGTGAACTCGGCTTTGTCAATGACATACAATGAGACCAAAAGGTTAGCACCGACCATTAAACCGAGCTACCTGACTTGGCCATCCGTTGAGGTTTTTGAATGCTCATGGAGGATTCTGAACTGGAGTTCGGAAACAGATTCGGTAAATTGTAAAACATAAACAAGTTTTGGGCTAAGCACCCAAACTTAGATTTGCTTACTTGAAACATTTTTTTTACCTTACCTACCCAAGACTTGCACACCTACTCTTTCTGCTTTTTAAAAGTTAATACCAAAATAGCATGTTACTGGACGTGTACCTATGAGGAGCGAAGACCCGTTTTTGCTACCATAAGCAAAACAATGTAAGAGACTTTGCGTAAAAAGTATCTCAATTCACTCCAAATTATGCTCTTCTCCAGTGTCATCTGACGCTGCCATTAAACAAAAGACCACACGATATTATCAAAAGAGTCGTAAAGCATTTTTTCCAAGTGTTGGAATAACATTGGGTAACGCACATCGGCCATTAGCAGTTAACACATCTATTTAAATCACTCTTTTCTCTGCTCCACCAAAACATTCCGGCAAAAACAAAAAAACATCACTAGAAAAGCTCATTATGACAGGAAACGAGGAAAACAACAAGCCGACAAAAACCCATGTCTTAATCTTCCCATTTCCGGCGCAAGGCCACATGATTCCCCTCCTCGACTTCACCCACCGCCTAGCTCTCCGTGGCGGCGCCGCCTTAACCATAACCGTCTTAGTCACTCCAAAAAACCTTCCTTTTCTCTCTCCGCTTCTCTCCGCCGTAAGTAACATCGAAACACTTATCCTCCCTTTTCCCTCTCACCCTTCAATCCCCTCCGGCGTCGAAAACGTTCAAGACTTACCTCCTTCTGGCTTCCCTTTAATGATCCACGCGCTTGGTAATCTCCACGCGCCGCTTCTCTCTTGGATTACTTCTCACCCTTCTCCTCCAGTAGCCATCGTCTCTGATTTCTTCCTTGGTTGGACCAATAACCTCGGAATCCCTCGTTTCGACTTCTCTCCTTCAGCTGCTATCACTTGCTGCATCCTCAACACTCTCTGGATCGAAATGCCCACCAAGATCAACGAAGATGACGATAACGAGATCCTCCAGTTTCCCAAGATCCCGAATTGTCCAAAGTACCCTTTTAATCAGATCTCCTCTCTTTACAGAAGTTACGTTCACGGAGATCCAGCTTGGGAGTTCATAAGAGACTCGTTTAGAGATAACGCGGCGAGTTGGGGACTCGTCGTGAACTCGTTCACCGCCATGGAAGGTGTTTATCTCGAGCATCTTAAGCGAGAGATGGGCCATGATTGTGTATGGGCCGTTGGCCCAATTCTTCCGTTATCTGATGGTAACCGTGGTGGCCCGACTTCTGTCTCTGTTGATCACGTGATGTCGTGGCTTGACGCACGTGAGGATGACCACGTGGTGTACGTGTGCTTTGGAAGTCAAACTGTTTTGACTAAAGAGCAGACTCTTGCGCTTGCCTCTGGGCTTGAGAAAAGCGGCGTCCATTTCATATGGGCCGTAAAAGAGCCCGTTGAGGGGGAGTCACCACGTGGCAACATCTTAGACGGCTTCGATGATCGTGTGGCTGGGAGAGGTCTGGTGATCAGAGGATGGGCTCCACAAGTGGCTGTGCTACGTCACCGAGCCGTTGGCGCGTTTTTAACGCACTGTGGTTGGAACTCTGTGATTGAGGCGGTTGTTGCCGGCGTTTTGATGCTGACGTGGCCAATGAGAGCTGACCAGTACACAGACGCGTCTCTGGTGGTCGACGAGTTGAAAGTGGGCGTGCGTGCTTGCGAAGGACCTGACACGGTGCCTGACCCGGACGAGTTAGCTCGAGTTTTCGCTGATTCTGTGACCGGAAAGCAAACGGAGAGGATTAAAGCCGTGGAGCTGAGGAAAGCAGCATTGGATGCGATTCAAGAACGAGGGAGCTCCGTTAAGGATTTAGATGGATTTATCCAACATGTCGTTAATTTAAGACTAAACAATTGATTTAGTCAACTAAAATTCTAGTTATGGTCTTTTTTTTTTTTCCTCCAAATGTTCCTCACGAATTTTTATTTTAAATCTGCATGTATTATATTAAACTGTTGTATGATGATAAATTGGTGTTTTAAATTGTGTAATTTCGATTTATTGTCTAAAAAAGCGGGTCAGTCTGGATCGGGTTGGGTCATATCGGGTCAAGTTTAAATTTTACCCGAAATTCGTTTTCCTTATCTTCTTCGAATCTAGCTTCCCTCTCACATATCCACACAACAAAAAGAAATGGCTCTCACCGTGAGCAGCGGTGGCGGAGGAGCTAGAATCCGCTGCAACGACCTCACCGATTCCTCTCGTAATCCTTTCTCCACCTTCCGACTCGTAAACTTCCCTTCTCCGTCTAGAACCTGTCTTCACGTTGTCTCTGCCGCCAAAAAACCATCCACACAGACTGGTCGGTTCGACAGCAAGAAGCGTCGGACTCTCGTTCCTACGACGACCAAGGAACAGTCGGAAGAGGGAAACGGTGGGTACGACGGGGAGAATCCGCCGTCTGAGATCGTAATCAACGACGAAGATGGAGATAGAACGGTGGTGAATACTCGTTTCAGAGGTGATCCAAAAGACGCGCCGAAATTTGCACTTAAGGATCTTCCAGGGCTTGAACCAGATCCTTTTGAAGGTGAGAAGTGGGATGGTCTAGGTTTCTTCGTTCAGTACTTGTGGGCTTTCGGAATCCTTTTTGCGGTAAATTTCAATACTTTTCAATTTCTTTATAACAATTCTCCAATTTGAAGTTAAACCAATCAATTCACAATGGTTTGAATGTTGTAACAGCTAATCTCCGGTGGACTTGCGGCGGGGACTTATAACGAAGGTGCGACGGATTTCAAGGAGACGCCAGTGTATAAAGAGGCGATTCAATCACGTGACCTTCTCGATGAAGCAGAGAGTTCAAACTCTGAGGATGTGTTCGAGTCCAACCCAACAGAAGTGGCGCCTAGTTTGGAATAGTTTCAGTTCAGTGTTTAGAGAAAGAATTCGAAAGACTGAATCTTTTTACTTTTGGGGTGTTTAAAAAAGCCATATTCCAAGTTGATCTTGAGCTTGTTGTGTTCATAATGTTATAGATTCAAAGTTAAAAGAAGAGTATTGTTCTTCATTGTTCTGTTTTTCAATTTCATTTTTGAACAGCAAACTTCTTTAGGAATCATACCGATAAGCTCTTCTTTTATAAATCTAAGGTAAAGTAATAAAATTGATCTTGTTTCATAGAGAAAACACAATACAGGAGAGAGTAAATAAATCCGAGATGGTAGTTAATGCAGAAGGACTCAGATGAGGAGGAGAGTGGCGGGTAGGATCGCTGCGAGTGCAAGGATGGTTAGCTTAATCTCAGACTTGGAGCCAGAGGATCTCACACCATAACCTAATCCCATAAAACTGGTGGGTCTTGGTGCCATTTGAGCCACCGGAGTAGCTGATAAAGTGAAAAGTAACACTAGGTTAATAGTTTCACTGTTTTGGTTTTAGCAGATACCGAAAACTTTGGTAAAACGTGGCTTACCCGCGACACGAGAGTTGTTCTTTGCACCTAGAGAGATTTGAGGACTAGTTGAGCTAGAAGGTGGTGGAGCAACAGAGGAGGAATCACTAGGCGCCTCTCCTCCTATAAACCGAAAGCGTTTTCATAAGTTTCAAGAAATCAATCGATCTCACAGAGGACAAAGTAGAAGTTTTGTTTACATACCTGGGGCGGAGGAAGCGGAGGAGCAAGAGGATGAATTAGCTGGAATGTTGCAAAGCGGAGGCAATTGTAGAGCAAGAGTTTGATTAATTGGAAAAGCAGGGGACAAAGTAGAAGTGTTGTTGAGGAAGAGACAGAGACAAGTTGCTTCTTGGCTATAGATCTGGTTTAAGCTGTCACAGCATGGCTGAGCCGGAAGCTGGGCAAAGCCTTGAACGAATGGACCACATGGAGCCAGGGAAAGCAGTCTGGAGGCACATGTAGCTGGTACTTGAGCGAGAACTAGTGGGAGAAAGAATGGTGACAATGAGATTAAGAGAATAATAAAGAGAGTAGAAGAAGCCATTTATTCTAGTAGACTTAAGTTTCCTTCTTCTTTGTTTGGGGGAGTGAGGAGTTTCTGAGTATTTAAGGTCGGAATCAATTGGTTTGGTGTGTGTGTGTGTGACTATGGACAGGTATTGTTATTGCACACATGATGTGTGTTCATTTGGTTGCAACACTTGAGTTCTTCATGCTCGTGTCTTATTTGGTGTTTATGAGTTCATTCGTAAAATGTGCTTCTTGTTTTTTGTTGACCACAAGAATGTTACCGGAATACCATTAACAAACTCTTTTAGCTCATTTGAAATAGCCAAATATAACGTATCTTTAGAAAAGTTAAAATTAGGTGACATTAGCAACAAAGTCGTTGTAGTATAGTGGTAAGTATTCCCGCCTGTCACGCGGGTGACCCGGGTTCGATCCCCGGCAACGGCGCATGTTTTTTTTATATTTTTAGTCCCTTTGTTTTCAGTTTCTTTCGTTTTAGTCCCTCGCATTTCAGGCTTTTCGTTTTAGTCCTTCTCTTCGCCTCTGGCATTCTCCGCAGCCATGTGCGGCGGAGGTAGGTTTTCTTTTCTTCTTCCCTAAAATCTCTCTCGATTGTACACATTCAGCATTACCTTCATGTTCTTTTCGCTTGAGTTCGTCTCGTCAAGGTCTAAACTTTTCCTTGGTGGGTTTTGTATCTATTGAACAGATGAAGTGTCAGCCATCGTAGTACAATCCCCTAAAGGACTTAGGTTCACACACTTGCAAAGCTGGTTACGCCGGAGAAGATGCCCCTAAAGCCGTTTTCCCATCCGTAAGTCTCGTTGTTCACTTCCTCTCTTTGCAATTGGTTTTATTTTTCTTAAAACTAGGTCCTTTTAGTGTAGAGCAAGCAATTTGAGAAATTTAGGTTTTTTGTTGTTGCTGTTGTTGATGTGTTACAAGGTTGTTGGACCAAGAAAAGGAAAAGAAATCTGTGGTCCATGGTGTGTATTATTTATTATTTAGTTGTAGTCTTTGTTCTGTTATCAATATAACGAGGACCTTTGGAGACAATCAGAGGGTTTAGGGATTAAGTAATTAAGATATATATGCCAAATTGACAAAGAAAAATATATTCGGCAAAAAGATTAAACACTTTTTCTATGAAGCTTTAGAAATAGCTTCGCGTAATATAATGTAAATTTCATATTGTTGGAGTTACAACAAATGTACTACTATTTTTCTAAGTGAAAACAACCACAAATGTACTTTTTCATATATTTTTTTTTACTCAATTGGTGTCTCTATATGACCGTTTGGTAAATTGACCTCTCCGTGGGCCAAACGTTGAATTTACGTGTCGTAGTTTTTGTCACATTCGACATTATCCAATTCAATAATACATAACTACGTGTCATAATCTGGTTCTCTTTACAACTTTACAAAATCCTTCCTCTGGACGGCAAGAATCGCCGACGTGCCCCTATCTAATCTGTATTCTCCCAATTTTATTTATTTTACTCTGATTCTCTCCAATTTTCTTTTTTCTTTTCGGATTTTTGATTCTTGAATCGCGGCAATTGTGGGTCTCTGTGTTTTCCTTTTCTGATTTGGGGATAAATCTCGATCGCGATTTGGTCAATTTCTCCAAGCATCGAGAGATTTCTATTCTCGCAAAATTTTGTGTTTTCTCAGGTGGATAAGAGTTTTCTCTTTGTCGTATTCCTGGAAAATTTGGGCGATTAAATCACCGAATCAGATTATTTTTTGTTAGAAATTTCTAATTTTTCCAAAAAAAAAAAGGTCTGATTTTTGAGATAAAGTCATGCAACGGATCGTAGACAACGCTCTCGCTGTAACCAAAGAGTGAGTCCTTTTTCTTATTGATCACCAGTGGATTCATCTGTGCATGCCAATAGTTGTTATAATGTTTCATACATTGAGAAGTAGGTCTTTGGAGATTGTATATTATAGTGAGTCTCTTTGTATTGGTGGATTGTGTTTTTGATTAGACTATTTTATTCTACTATCTTTATTCAAAGCTTGCTCTTTTATAGTTGATTTTGGCTGTGAACTTTGATGTGTTGACATAACTCTTTTATTTCTTTCTGGGTTTGTCTTCTTGTTAGATGTTTATCTTTTCCCTTATGTTGTCAAACAAGCTTAAACTAACGATGCTTTTCGTTATGTTTGGCTTTTAGTGCAGATCAGTGAAAACTGTTACATATGAGTCTTTGAACAACATTGCAAGATGCATAAATGGAGTATCAGCTCTTCTGCTGACTCTTCTACCGGGGAAAGCTAATATTCTTGAAGGTCTCCATGGCTGGGAACTCAGGCCCACGTTTCGTGGACCACGTTTACCACGGTGGATGCATAAGTAATATATAATTTCTGATGATTCTTCTCTTGTTAGTTTTTTTGCGAGCCTTAATAGTATGCGAATTTTACTCTGTTTTTGATGGCAGTGGGGTCTCTTCTTTCAACGAGTTCATTCATGAGCTTTCTGTGGATTCTGATACTTCAAGCTTGGAGTATTCTTCTGGAGAAGATAGTGATGGTCCGATGCCTCCATCACCATCATCTCAAAGCTCACGCCTCTCTTGGGCTAGCACTTCTGCAAGTTCTGAAAACCACTGGACAGAGTGGATTACGTTCATTCTTTGGTTGTTAATATTTCCTCTACGGATCTTGCTATGGATACCGCAATATATTATGAGTTTATTCCTTAAACGAAGTTCACGGACTCCTGCGAGCCCGAGAAGGCACCAACATTCATGTAGACATCGTATTAGTAAGACCAATTCAAGCAAAGACCATGATGTTCCCAACCGAACTACTGATAGAAGACGCGGAGTGATTGAGGTTTGTGGATGCATTAACAAATATTTAATATTCCCTCTGGAAAGCATCTCTGTTCAGTTATTTGTGTTATTTTAAACCCTTTCACACACTCTTACTACTTAATGTGCTTTATTTTCCAGGATCTTCATCTTGCTATCGAGATCGCCATAGAAGCAATATTTGATTTTTTTCACAAGGCTACGCATCTTCTTCTTTCTCCATCAGAAGCTTTTGCAATACTGTTATCATGGTTCTCATCTTCCAGTCACAGCCCTAAAGAAAACCATGGTGACGTTACAGATGATGGAACTGTGCAAACTGCTACTTTAGGAGATACCGATCCATCCCCCACGGAAAGGCCCATAGAAAGGCCCACACGCTTATACAACTCTATGAACACAGATACTCGAACGTGTCAAGATGTTATAACAGAGCTGGGGTAAGGGCAGATTCGATGTCTCGTGCTTCTATTTTATCTCTTTCTCAATTATTTGGTATTTACTTATTTTCTCTCCTACTTTTGATAGGTATCCTTACGAAGCTATTCGTGTTGTTACATCTGACGGATATGTTCTTGTCTTGGAAAGGATACCAAGGTAACTTTCTTGTGAGATACTAAGCTCACTTGTGCATCCTTTCCATTCCTGTTTTATTGTCTCTTCCTTAAATGTGACCGTTGACTGCTTCTCTTGTCTTTGCAGACGTGATGCTAGGAAAGCTGTTTTTTTGCAGCATGGGGTTTTGGATTCATCAATGGGGTAAGTTTCATGGTCTAGTTCTTAGATGACTCGTAAACTTTGCAAACTCAGCTGAGGAAGTATTATTTTCTATATCCATGTAGCATAAAATTCCAGGGCATTTCAATGTTCCTGACTTTTAGTAATTTGTTACCCTCATACTTTGTCATGTGTGTTTGATTTGCTCAAGACACAATAGTGCTTTCAGTTACTTAAATTATCTCATCTTCGTTTTTCCCTTTCCTTCTCAGCTTCTCAAAGATTCCAGTTTTGACTTGGATCATCCTATAATCGTCTGATCTTTTGATCTAATATATGTTCTATGAAACATTATAGATGATTTTTCTTTTTCTCTTCTGCATGTTTTTTTTCAGATGGGTATCTAATGGGGTTGTTGGATCTCCGGCTTTTGCTGCATATGACCAAGGTTCAAGACTCAATTTTTTCATTTTCCAATCAGTTTATTAATTCACAAGCTTCTTACACTCTTTTCCTTTACAGGCTACGATGTTTTTCTGGGTAACTTTCGGGGTTTAGTTTCAAGAGATCATGTGAACAAGAACATATCCTCAAAAGAGTGAGTTATTGCTTTAAAGTTCACTTCTTACTTGATCTACACTGTCTGGTTTCTTTATGATAGTGGAGTTTCATCATATGTATATATTTGCAAGTTGTACAAATTTTCATTGATATTGACCAAAATGCAGGTTCTGGCGATACTCCATTAACGAGCACGGTACTGAAGATATCCCAGCGATGATAGAAAAAATTCATGAAATAAAAACTACAGAACTCAAGCTCTACCAGCCCAATATCGATGATGAAGAAAGCAACCAGGAGGAGCCTTATAAGCTCTGTGCCATCTGTCATAGTCTAGGCGGTGCTGCAATTCTGATGTATGTTATTACTCGAAAAATCAAGGAGAAGCCACACAGACTCTCACGACTAATCCTACTTTCACCTGCTGGGTTTCATGAGGACTCGAACTTAGGTTTCACAATAGTTGAGTACATATTCCTTTTCATTAGTCCAGTTTTGGCTCGCATCGTGCCTGCCTTCTACATACCGACAAGATTCTTCAGGATGCTTCTGAACAAGTTAGCTCGTGACTTTCACAACTATCCTGCTCTTGGTGGATTGGTCCAAACTCTAATGAGTTATGTAGTTGGTGGAGACAGCTCGAATTGGGTCGGAGTCCTTGGATTACCTCACTACAACATGAACGACATGCCAGCTGTCTCCTTTCGTGTGGCGCAACATCTTGCTCAGATCAAACACAGCGGTAAATTCAGGATGTATGATTATGGAAGCAGATCAGCTAACATGGAGGTTTATGGCTCTCCTGAACCCCTTGATCTAGGGGAGTCCTACAAGTTCATCGATGTGCCTGTGGATTTAGTAGCGGGAAGGAATGACAAGGTGATTCGGTCTTCCATGGTGAAGAAACACTACAATGTGATGAGAGATGCCGAGGTCGATGTATCGTTTAATGAGTTTGAGTATGCTCACCTTGATTTCACATTCTCCCACCGCGAAGAGCTTTTGAGATATGTAATGTCGCGGCTTCTACTTGTGAAACAGACACCAGTTCAACAGAGGCAGACCAGTCAGAAAGGTATGAAGTTGAAGAAGAAGAAAAAGGAGGTACAGTAGTGTAGTAGCTGAAACCGATCTATGGAAATGTTCAATGCCTCATAGAGTTTGGTGTCTT